TTTTACGTTTTTACGTTTATTTCTCACTGAACACTTTATATTTAACGTTTTTTAATATTTTTTTTTTTGCGTGGATCGTTCATATATTATTATATAATTTGATGTCTTTACACAGTGGTTGAAATTTTTTTATTGTCCCAATCACTATCTGTTTTTCCACAGCACGATGGAATTATTAATGTAATTGTTTTTTTCATGATCCTATGTAAGATATATCACTTGGTTTAGGGCTAGACCGCCTAAACCCTAAATTTCACTATATCACTTGGTTGCACTAAGTGTCATATTATTAATACCTTTAGCGCTTTGATATATATTTTTCTCGATTGTTGAAAGGATTCTTCCATTCTCTTTTAGAGCTGCTTTAGGTTTTAATTTACAATACATATTTCCACTTTAGTCTCTTTTCCAGAAGCGCTGATTATCTATTTTTCAGGATTTATATATCGCCAACAGTTTGTGCAGCGCTTTACAATATAAGGAAGACATTATAATCACAATACAAATCAAGACAAGATGGTAAGGAGATTAGGTAGCCCCTTGCAGCTGACCGTAGATCCCAAAAAGGGAGCAGGGCACTGAGCCGGAGAGGCAAATGCAGTTATCCCGCTCTGAAGTTTAATTTCTTTAATGAAAACCAGAGGCCTTTTATAAAAACTTGTAATCCTTTCTTTATATTAACTTGCCAACATCCTCTTCACACCAACTGATGTGTCAGGTTGCATCAACAGCTGCCCTGCACTGGCCACTGAACAGATCAAATGGGTGAAGACCTGGAGCCAGTGACTCTTTTCTCGTTTTCTTTCAGGGTCAGTTCACAGCTCTGATGATCTCACATTTTAGACATTGAAACAAAAAAGTAGTATAAGGTAGACCACTTAAAGGAGAACTATGAGGTGAGCGATTTCCACTCAACCTCATAGTTCGAGCCGACGTGTGACAATTAAACTGTTACACTTTGGCTCAATAGATCGGGAAGTGAGCGAATACATACCATCGCTCTCTCACTTCTCGATCATGTCCCTGCAGAGAGCGGTGATTGTCAGTCACGGCTCCCTGCAGGGATTCCCCTCCCCGGTCCAATCCTCCAGCGCTGACTGGTGTAACGGACGGGGGAGGGGTACAGCTGGCTCTGCCTCTAGATAGGCAGAGCCAGCTGTCAATCATGCTGGTGACTGGTGACGTTATTTTCTATTGTATTTCTTCACGGCGCCATCCGTGGCCACTACAAGCACCCACGCGTTCACACGGGTCTGTCTTTGACTCCAGTAAGGAGTGCAGCAAGAACTTTTGATTTCTGATACTGAGCTTTAGGTCACGGGAGGATGCTAGTTTATGTCCTCCCATGACCCCTAGGAGAACTATGTGGAAAAGCACTGACCCTATAGTTCTCCTTTAAAAATGATTTTTTAGTATTATTATTAGAGCTACTCTTTAATGAATTCTCTGGAATGTAGTAAACTAGATTATTGTATTTATTGAAAAAATTCTCTTTCTGCATTTGAAATTCTGTGTGATCCTCTACAGCATAGAAGAACTGTCACGCGATGATGTTTCCGCTTTCATCTTTCATGTTAACACCTGTCACCACAATTTCACATTTCTTCATTCTGTATTATCTGAAAAGTGCTCTATATATCTCCCCATGCTATCGGATCCTGTAAGGCTTTTAACTATTTTTAACTCCCCCTCTTCTGTTACTGGAAACCTCTCAGCAATGCCAGTGGCACCCTATGCAAATGAGAGCGAGGATGCCGATTCAGCAGCCAGCTCTGCCGTTCATAATGGAAAGCGTAAAGTTTGAAATAGCATCGGAGAGAGACGGGCCCTTTGTGTGTGATTAGTGGTTTCAAAACCAGGCACGTTGCAACTCTATTTATTCTCCTAAGCATATGCAAAGGGTTTTTGCAATCTACATTATAGGGCAACAAGTGTGGAATCCTCCCAAATTACTGAGTTCAGGTGTTTCCACTGAAGAATCTTGTGCTACAGCATACAAAGGCATTGTAGACAATTGTGCTCTTCCAACATTGGGGTAAGAGTTTGGTGAAGACTCTTTTCTGTTACAGCATGACGGTGTCCTGGTGCAAAAAAGCCAGATCTATAAAGACATTGGCTTGATGAGTTTGTATTGGAGGAACTACAGAGCCCTTACCTGGACCCTACTAAACACCTTTGGGATGAACTGGAATGGTGGCTACTGTCAGGACCAGCTGTGGCTGCACGCTGTCAGAGCCAATAGCGATGAGTTGTTTCATCTTTAGCAGACCGCCGTTCCCATAAGGCAAGCACGCCTACTGGTACTTGGATGCCCCCAGGGCTTAAACTATTTGCCCTGATCAGGTGATGCCACAGGCTGGCCCCCAGGAACAAGGAGAAGTACTGACTGATGTCAAGGTACAAGACAAACAGAGAGCAAGGCACCAGACAGGAACAGGAAACACATACAAGACAGGAACTAATACAAGATAAATACAGGAAACAAGACAGTTATAGGATTAAAGAGCCAAGGTAAGATTAGGTTACAAGCTCAAGGCAGGACTGAATATAAGGATCAGGATACAGGCCTGTGTAGACAGAACAAGACAAGACAAGACTGGAGCTATCACAAGCCAAGAGCTCATAAATGCTCTTGTAGCATAATGGGCACAATTTTCATACAGACTCTAAATCTTAGTGAAAGCCTTTTCAGAAATCGACAATTTCTTGCTAATATGTCCCCTACAATGTTCTTTGACAAACTAACCGCCCGTCAGGAAGACACACTCCCTAAGTTTGAGGCTACATGGACTCCCTGGATAGAGCATTTGTTCCCTTCCGTTTCTCCAGCAGGCTTCTCTTTCTGTTTGAAAGTGTCCATGTAGGGTTCCTAGGGAAAACCAGTGTGATGGATCTTTTCCTGACCTGTCCCTTGTGGGTGGCTGGGACCACAATGGTGGCTGTCAAATGGAGAGCAGTAGGAGTTCAGCAAACATCCATTCACTGATTTCTCTTGTGAAAAATGAACCCAAAAGCGCTCAGCTTTGAGCACTTGCGGGTTCAGAACGGTCACTCTCTGACCTCTCTGACCAGGGTAGAAGCTGATGGAGCACAGTTCTGTGCTTGATCAGCCTCAACAGAGTGCAGAGGTGACATCAGGGGTCTGATAGAATCCTGATGTCTCCTTAAAAAGAACCTGTCACCTGCACTATGCTCTTTGGGGCATCATCAGCCCCTTTGTGTTAGCAATAAAGTTAATTTTTTTTAGAAGCACCACATAAAAAATGACTTTTTACCAGAAACATAATTCTGTCTAATTTGAAACATATTACAATGTACTTAAAACAGAAGTAAACTAAAGAAGCACAGTTTTCCAAATATATTTACATTTTAGCAACTGTCATATACAGTGTTTTGCCTATGGATGGTAATAGTTGGCAACCACAATAAAGTAAAAAGGTCAATACTACTAACAAAACATCATTTAGCACAGCACAATGCACCAAAAAGATTAAGGCTGAATGACATCAAGCAATATATTAAGCAAGGTCAGTTAGCTGTGTTTATCAACATTCTCCAGTTTGCTCTTCGGTGTAATTTACTGCAGTTGAAGGTCATAATGGCATTTTTCTCTCTTTTGTGGATAACGACATTGAGACATGGTTAACATGTTTCCCATTATGTCCCCACTGGCTGGCATGTGAATCTTCCAGTGTCACATGCTTGTGAATGGCATGCCACCTACTCCCTGGCAGAATGCAGGAGGGGGTGGGGTGGTGCCATATAGTGGAGGGAGGGGGGTACAGGGGAGGAAGGAGAGTTGCACAACAAAAGAGGGTGCTGGAGGTGAATGAGAGGAGCAGGATGGGAGTTGTTGATGGTGGAGGAAAAGGAGTAGTACAGGGGGGCACTGAAAGGGAAGGAAAAGTGTTATGCTGGATGCTGTAGAACAGGAGAGGAGCAGTACAAGAAGGAGAGGGTACCAGAGGGGGAGAAGAGGCATAATACAGGGAAACACAGGAGGGGGATGTGAGGATCCATATAGGGAGAGTCACAATACTGGGGGACTTTGGAGAGGAGGAGAGGCACACTACAGGGGAGACACTGGATGAGGGGGAGTCACAATACTGGGGGACATTGGAAGAGAGGAGAGGCATACTACAGAGTAGACACTGGTAAATGGGAATTTAGAATACTGGGAGATATTGGAGGGGAGGTGCACTAATGGGGAGACTCTGGATGAGAGGGTGTTACTGGGGGACATTGGAGGGGATGAGAGGCACACTACAGGTTGGGGACTCTGAATGAGACAATACTAGGGGGCATTGGGAATAAGAGGTGCAATACTGGAGGACACTGGAGGGGGAGGTGAGGATCATTGCCAAAAAGGATGCTTAAAGGGGAGGAAAGGCACAATACAAGCTGACACTGAATTGGGGGAGAGGTGCAATACTGGGGGAAATTGTAGGGGAGGATAAATGGGGGGTGCTGGAGGGGAATGAGAGCCACAATGCAGGGAGGATAATATAAAGGGAAGGAGAGCCACAGTATATGGGGATTCAGGAGGCCAAAGTAGATGGAAGGGAGAGGATGCTGGAGGAGGAAAGGCGCTATACTTTGGGGACATTTAATGGGAAGGAGACATAGTACAGGGAGCCGATGGGTGGGGTGAAGAGGCCCAATAGTACAGCAGTCACACTGACAGCTTATTCCTGAATCCTCCTGATACAGAGCTGAGCTACCTGTCACAGTAACAGCAGAGCCCACTCCAGTGTAATCAGCAGGGCTGGGCTGTCAGTTTGACAGCACAATTCTGCACAGTGGCGGAAAACACTCCCAGCCTAGCTGTGCACTCCCCACTACAGCGCCTGAGAAGAATGTCTCTCCTGCCTCTGTATCAGCCCTACCTTGATGGATGCTGATTGGATGCTATGGATGTCACAATTTGCATAGTGTTGGTTATATTATATGATGACAACTGCCAGTCTTTACTGCCAAACTAAAAATATTGCTTATTCCAGGTACCCAGGGGACCAAGCCTGGAACCGGCACGTAGCTGGCATCTCTGAGATGCTCCTCATTCCATCTCTATGGATATAGCAAAGGAAATCTACCACGTCAGCTATAACCGTCAGGACGAGGTCTCATCCTGCTGTGACTTGGATGGAAAGAAGAACATCTTGGTCTCCATGAGTCGTCTTCCTCAGGACTGCCTGAGCCTAATAGAGATTGCCCTGGTGCTAAATACCATGGGGTGCATCCACAGTCTAAGCTGCAAGCCCAAGGTCTTTCGAGAGTCCATTTCTGTCCTGGACATCAAAGCCACCATTGATTCCACGCCCACCAGGATTGACGAGTCATCTAGTGTCGTGTTGAGATACAGGACGCCCCATTTCCGAGCCACTGCTGAAGTCTTAGTGCCTCCGATCTCTGGCAAGGAGACGTGGAGGGTGGGCTGGATTCAGGCCTGCAACCATATGGAGTTCTACAACTACTATGGAGACTTGGGCATGTAAGTGTAAACAAAAGCAAATCTGGGGGGTCACCCAATAAAAACCATGTTTTATTTTTATCCTTGCTTCACTATTTGTGGGCCACTGACCTAAAACAAACAGTCACATGTTAGGTGTCCCAAAACCGCTATAAAAGCTTGTTCAAAATCATTGACACACCAAGTAGTGAAGTAAAGGTTTAGGATGACAGCCCTGAAGAATGGAAATGTAAAAACAAGTGGCAGCTTCAATATTCCTACCCTACCACTTTCATGTTAAGTCCATAAATAATTACATAGAGTAACTGACAACATCCCAGATTCCCTGTTTGCCTTCTTTTTATAGATTTCCACAGTTGAGTCTTAAAGCTGCCAGGCAGTTACATTAAAGGAGAACTAAGCTTGCGGTATACTGAGCTTAGGGTAACGGGAGGATGCTAGTTTGTGTCCTCCCGTTACCCCAAGGAGAACTATGGGGAAAAGCCCTGACCCCATAGTTCTCCTTTAAGACTTAGTTACTGAAGTGGTTAGAGGAAGAACTGTTCTTGTTGCCCTAATCTGTTCTCCCTTAAAGTGAACCTGTCAGCGTTCACAATATTTGCACCCTGCCAAGAAATAGAATTAAGAGGAATATGCAGGGTGTCACTACTGACCTCCTAAAAAGTGCTAGTTGTCATTATGATCCTGAGATTACTTTTTCTTAGGTTTGAATCAGCATCAGTCCTGCCCCAAAAGTTTAAACCGGATTGCTGGTCGTGTAGAAAAAAAACTCCAGTTCTTAGTAGGAACATGGTAAATCATAATGCCCTTGAAGAGCCAATGACCCAATACAAGCATGAAGCCAATGAACATAGTTACTCTAGGTCAGCTCTGGAGTCTGCACCTTAAAAAACAGGTCAGCAATGGCAACTTTACAGTCTTAAGCTGCCCATACACCTGGCGATTATCAGACTAAACTTTTTGTCCGATGAGCGAACCGCCATACGATTTTCATACGGCGGCCCCATCCTGCCACAATTATTGCAAGGTTCAATCAGCAGTAACTTAAAAAAAGCACCTGGACGAATTGCGGTAATCGACCGCACGTATTTTCATTTGCGCATGAGCAGTGTAAATCGTACGAATTTTGACGTTCGAAAACGCCACCAACCTTGCGAAAATCGTACGATCGACCAAAGTTTTCAAACCTGCGGGATAACAATCACCACGATCAGTAGTGCTTTGTAGCTTGCACTCAGATTTGACTGGCGCAGATCATATTGATTATTAACCTGCTGGTTAGTCAAAAGTTGATCGATTGTACACTGCCCATCAACCTTACGAATATCGGACGAAAACGCGATCACATACGAAAATCGCCCGATATTCGTAAGGTGTATGGGCAGCTTACTCCTGATAAATTCCCTGACTAGGCACTCTGGGCTCAGATCCAGATTGCAGTTGCAGTGCCACTCCAGAAGTTGCGCAGCAGGTTGCCTCCTCCTGGGTGACATTGACGTCTGAAGGAAGATATCATTTCCATGGCTGTGGATGGCCAAGTTCCAGCATTGAAACCCAATAAAATGATTAGAAACAATCAATCTCTGAAATGGAGCTTGAAACAAGCGGGATATGAATAAGCAGTGGAATTAAATCCTCAAGGCTCTTGTCATGCCAGTGATTGCAGCCTCAGGGATCGTGTTTTCATTATCTTTTTCATCGACTTTTCCTGCGTGTTCTGGGAATTACATTTTTTTTTTCTGACCTTCTTACACATTCTACAAAATGCTCGGCTTCGACCTTCAAGCGGTCAGGTTTATCAGGGACGCCTTCATTTGCACTTGTTACAAGCAATTAAAATAAATGCTGTAAATCATAGCTGTATTTAAGGGTCGCTTCAGGAGGAAAAGTGTATAAATCAAAACTACATCTCCTAATGAGAACTTCCTATGAGAATATGCTGAAGAGCATCATCTCTCAAAATTTGGGCTGCTCTGTATTCCTCAGGATCTCACCACCTCAGGATGTTAATCTCATGTTAACTATCACCACGGGTGAAAGATAGGGATAAGGTGTGTATACACTGAGTGGCCAGATTATTATGACCACCCCATCAGTACTTCGTTGGGCCACGAGATGACTCCACGAGATGACTTCGTTGGGCAGCCTCGTGACTCCACGAGATGTTGAAAGGTGATGCGAGGAATCTGACACGGCACTGTTGCCCTTCTGTTGTCTTTTACCAGTCTTGCCACTCTCCGTTCTGCCCTAACATTGACTAGTCGCTGACGGCCACAATTCACACGTTCAGACCCAGATTTTCGGCTGACAGTCCGGTCTTTAAACACCTTAACAACAGCTGCTCTTGAACATTTAACGAATTCTGTTGTTTTGCTGATACTCGCTCAATGGCTCCAAGCGCCAACAATCATCCCACGTTCAAAGGCTATTTAATCGCGTTGTTTACCCGTATCTTCAGAAAAAAATCACTTCTACTGTCGTGGTAAACAACCTGCTTCCCTATTTATAATGGTTTGGCCCTCTAGCAACTTCAGCGCAAAATTATAGCTACGTACAGTCATCATGTTTCCAAACCGCTATCTCCAACTCTCTCAACTCGGCCTCCCCCAACTTCCTGTCCACTACAAGATCACAAAGGGCAAACATAGTTTGGGATCAAGGAGAAGCAGGGAGGAGGGGATTAGATTGCCTTGTTGTGCCTGTGTGTTTTATGGAGACGCAAACAGCTTACTGGTACACACAAGGGTGGCTCCACAGGACGCTGCAAGGGAAAGGAGCCACCCTAAAACAAGATATCAGGCCATTGCTCAGGGGACCAGCTGATTCTGCAGGAAACTTAAACTTTCAAACATCAAGGAGCAGCAGCCATTGTAAGTGATTTAATCAGCATTTGAAATAGCTTAAAAACCTCTTGACATTAATATCGCTTTAAAGTGACTAAGATTAAGAATGTTTTAGATACTTCTTTCCTGACTTGCTGTGAACTTTCTTGGGAAGAGGCATTAGAACAATAGGGAAGTCCCTGCGCTGGATACCAGGTGGAAATTCCAGTAGTATTATTCCTTTCCGGGCTGTCGCATAACACGTTCCCCTCCATTGTGTTGCAGTCATTCATTTGTGCACTTTCAGGACCGACGGACAATATGAAGAATGGTGTTCAGTGGCTGTATTTAGTTAAGCACCCACACAGATGGCCCTGAGCCACATTCTGTGGTGGATGTCTGGCAGTGTCTGTGTTGTGTCTGTGTCAGGGGTTATCTGGTGAAGTGACGCTGAGAAACTTGTGATAGAAATATCAGTTTTGGCCACCGCTACTGCTCTACTAATAGAATAAGTCAGGAAGCTTTGTCACTTCCAGGCTACTTAGGCATGTGTGTAGCCTCCCACCCTCATCTTCTAAATCCACAATACATGTTTGTGCAACTCATTCAACTCATTACCACTGCTTAAAGTGAACCCGTGATCTGATCATGCACGCTCACTTCAATTTACCTTCTTTTCTCTCCCCCTCCCCCCTATCCAGGCTATAGAACATCCTCTGTAAGCTGAGAATGGCCAAAGTCTTGGCTTCTACAGGGATATGGACTTCTTGTGTGACAGCGCCGACTGGCCCATTACTATCACTGAACACAGAGGGTACAGCTACCCTGTGCACCCCCCACCCCCAACAACTGGTTTAGGTACCTAACACATGGACTCGGAAGGTATATACATTTTTGCAGATAAATATCATGAAGATAAAGACATAATCGCGACAAATTAACACATAAAAAATGACTTCTCGAATAAATGATCATGGACAAGTAAACGTGTCCATAGAGGAATAATCAGTATGATAGTTCTACAACTAGAAACATGTCAGCAAAGATTCAATCAGTACTTTACTGACTCAACAAGGTATGTGCCTTCAGAGTCAGTTCTAGGAAGGTTTCGAAGTGTGAAGACAGTGCTGGACTCCTGTAGTTTCTCATCCAAGAATAGTAAAGTGATGTGAATATGGGTGATCTGACTTACGGGCAGGCAGCTTCAGTGATCCAAAGGATCTCCACAGTATCCATGGCTTGATAATGAATAGAGTAGATGGGATTGAAGCACCACACCAATTAAAATAGTAAAAATACAACTTTATTCCATTAGGGTTAGGGGGTCAATCGAGTAGAACATCCAATGCATTTCAGGGGTCCAAAACACACCCACTTCATCAGCACTTAATGAGAGAAATCATGTATGTGTACTACAATTCCTGTGGCTTAAAAATTGCATTGTGTTGTGATGGGAGAACTTCCAAACCAGCTGCTGACCAGTCTGAAGTCCTTCCATCACAACATAATACAACTTTCAAGCTGCCGGGATTGTAGCCCACATGCATGATTTCTCTCATTAGGCCCTGATGAAGGGGGTGTTTTGGAACCCCGAAACACATTGGTTACTCTACTTGAAGGTCTCCTGACCCCAATGGAATTAAGTTGTATATGGATTACTTTGAGGACTACGCGTACCACCGCGTAGTCCCATAGAGAAGGACGGGGGCTGCGTACTAATCACACGCACCTGTCCTTCCCGGGAGCTGCTCGATATGGCCCTGCATGCAGCACGGAGCTGTACGTGCCGCCGTGAATGAGGCCTTAGTTTTGCAAAACAGCTTCCTGATTGGCTACAGTCACTTCAATTTTTCAGTTGACATTTGTTGGGACCAGTGGTGCTGACATGGACACTCACGGATTGGATTTTCACCCATTTAACAGGAAACAGCTGACCTTCCATTCATGCATGGTCAGCTTAAGCTAAATAATAATATATATATTCTGCCATTAACCCAATGCGACTGGTTCTCTTTAAAGTAATATGAACTAACTCTGTTAGCCCTTAGCCAGCAGTTGGAAACAGACTTTCAGATTATAACTGTGATTTTCCAGGGCAGGTATGGTCACTGAAGGGTAATGCAGATGGTTCATAATATTGATACATGAGGTCCTTTTACATACAGCTCGCCCAAGCCACAAGGGCGTACCACACTGTAAAAAATAATAAAGCACAGAACATCACTAAATGGCCAGACTCAAGACAAAACATTTATTTTAGTTTTGGATAGAGCGGGGAAAGGTTAGAGAAAGGTTTTAACAGTTTTTTTTGTGCTATCTGTGCCGCTATTTTCTCTTACTTTCTGTCATTCCTTGCACAGCAGTGCTCAGATCGGAGGAAGATGGGGCAGCAGTAGGACCAATTAGGTGTTCTGCTGTGCACATATACTGACAGATATAATAAAAATATATATATATATAAACTCATCAGTCTTCTGCTGCTCCTTCACCGTCCAATCATGAGCTGGTGACCAGGCTGTATTGCACAACTGTAGTAGAGAAAACTCTTGTCACCAACCTTTGGCATGTAAAACAGCTCCCATATATGTATTACTTATGTGCATTTATCTGTTTGCCTGATATTCAGCTTTAAGATCAGATCCTGCAGCAACACACAGCAGCTGTCCGGGGTTCCAGCTTGATATTGAGTAAGGGTTTCTATTATTCTGACCTGAGTGTAGAGCACAAGAAGAGAACAAGCAAAGCACATCCTTCCTGATTATCCGCTGCAGGATGGCGTAATAACCGCTTTTGTTTACTCTATTCATTCAGCAACACATTGATGATTCCCGCTGAAGCTCTATTTATATTGGCAGCTGCAGCCCTCCCCATTCGGGGCTAATATCATAGTTGTCCTTAAATCTTTCCCCCTTCAACAGGAAGTGCAGCTTGGACACAGGAAGATCAGTTGGGGCCGGGGAGGTAAACAGAAAAGAGAATCTGTCAAATCTCATTCATTGCGATGCAAAGTATCTGACTTTGATGTAACAAAATATCGAGACACACGGCATTTGACAGTTTTGTGGCTTTCTGGTGAAGATTTGATATCTGACAAGGAGCGGAAATCATGTCAGCTGAAACATGAACATGCAAACCATCTAACACAAGCACAATGCGTTCCTTGCTAGTCTTCTAGAAAGATTGGTACCATACATACACTATATTACCAAAAGTATTTGCACGCACATGAACTTTAATGGCATCCCAGTCTTAGTGCGTAGGGTTCAATATTGACTTGGCCCGCCCTTTGCCGCTATAACAGCTTCAACTCTTCTGGGAAGGTGTCCACAAGGTTTAGGAGTGTCTCTATGGGAATGTTGGACCATAAATGAGGTTTATTAGACTCCAGGAAAGAGGACAGTTAACTGTCGCTTCTTGAAGAAGAGGTCATGGGGACTTCTTAAGTAGCGATTGTTTTGTATGGTGATGCTCCAGTTTCAGACAGACGCAGGACAAGTGCAGATGTAAACAGTTGCAAACTTTCGCAAAACATGTGCAAACATGTGCAATCGGAAAAATAGTGCAAGCTCTGGTCAAAACTGGCACACATGTTAAAAGGAACGACTAAACAGACTTGCACATATTAAAAAAAATTACCCTTTTAGATTGTAAGCCCTCAGGGGCAGGGCCGTCCTTACCATCTTGTCTTAAATTGTATTGTGATTGTAATGTTTTCCTTATTTTGTAAAGAGCTGCGCAAACTACTGGCACTATATAAATCCTGTATTCGGATGGCCAGCGGTGAGGGGGAGAGAAGCCGCCCACAGGACGAGCTGTGACGGCCGCACGGCGCCCTTCTTGCCATGGCGCCCTGTGCGGCCGCACGGCTCGCACACCCCTAAGGCCGGCCCTGATAATAATAATAATAATGTAAGAGGTTAAAACAGTCGCAATTGCTTTGATCGATTCCCCCACAGAGAATTTCAAGAAAAATGCATCAGATAGAGGTCAGCAATTAAAGCCCTTTTTTATTTTGTGACAGGTAACATCTGTATGTATAGACAATTCTTTTGTGTTAGATAAAATAGGGAAGGGTTAATGCCCCGTTAATCTATTTCTTCCTGCATTCCTACTTGCCCCGTCAGTGCCGGATTTACTCTCTCTGCTGCCCCAAGGCCAGGTTCCTCAATGCGCCTCCTTACCTGCCAATACATATCGGTAAGGAGTGCGACAAGGATAGTACTTATTGTCCTTACCTGCCAAGCCCCCCCCTCTTCCCATGGAGAATGGCAGACCTGCATACAAGTGATCTCAGTGACATTGCCGAGATCACTTGTACACAACAAGCTTTGGCTTCCCCGCTGTACATTTAGCTCTGCTTGCCCAAAGCAGGACTAAATGTAGAAAATAACTACCTGCTTGGCGTCCAGAACTGCTTGTCCTGGGCACCGGGAGCTAGGAATTCCACACCCCTGCTGCCCCTCTACTCCCTGCTGCCCCGAGGCCGGGCCTTGTTTGGCCATGTGAGAAACCGGCCCTGTGCCCGGTCTGTCCACAACTTCCCTCATTCCTACTTGCCCCGTTTGTCTACAACTTCCTGCATGCCTACTTGCCCTCTTTGTCCACAACTTCCTGCACTCCTACTAGCCCCGTCTGTCTACAACTTCCTGCATTCCTACTTGCCCTGTTTGTCCACAACTTCCCTCATTCCTAGTTGCCCTGTTTGTCCACAACTTCCTGCATTCCTACTTGCCCCGTCTGTCTACAACTTCCTGCATTCCTACTTGCCCCGTCTTTCTACAACTTCCTGCATTCCTACTTGCACAGCTCTAGTTATCATTTCCTCACAGCGAGTCTCCCATCTCCACTGACATGGTATGCGTAACTGGGAAGGTTATCCCTGGTCAGTAGAAAAGTTGGATGGATCGATCAATAGCTATGAGGTCCAACAGGGGGCTTGGTCCAGACTCTGAACAAGGTTTCATTCATTGATTCATGCAATAAAGGTAGACATAAATACCAGATCTAGGTTTTTATTATTGTCTGTGTCCCTGTTGAGCAGAGTTCATGAAGTAAGCTTTTATTTTCCCCAGGTGGGGCACACATACAGCATTATAAACCTTGTAGAGGTTCTAACCTTCCCATACCCTAACTAAACTAAAATGAAACACTTTTGGCCGATGTTCCACTATTCTGAGTAGTCTTGAAGTGGACCATGGTGATCTGAAGCTTGCATATGTTTCTGAACTGCTTCTTTTTCATTAATACCGGTACAGAAGCCTTACACTAACATATTCTTTTGTTTTTAGGTCCAGCTGGGAACTTCCAGATTTGGAGAATGGTAAAATCCCAGCCATTAGTGACTCAGATGGAGTTAACTACCCTTGGTATGGCAACACTACTGAGACCTGCACTGTTACTGGCCCCACCAAAAGGGACACCAAGTTTACTGTCAGTATGAATGATAATTTCTACCCCAGTGTGACGTGGGCAGTGCCTGTTAGCGATTCCAATGTGCCTATGTTGACAGGCATCCGGAGGGACCAAAGTTTCACCACTTGGTTGGTGGCTATCAACATGGCCAGTGGTGAACTTGTTATCCTACATACCATCAAGTGGAGGATGAAACTGGAGATCGAGGTCAAATCCACCTTACCACTAGGACAGCGCGCCAAACTGCAGGAACCCTTTGGCCAGGAGCAGCCACAAGTGCTCACCAAAAATGAACCCATTCCTCCTAGTGCCCTTGTAAAACCGAATGCCAATGATGCACAGGTACTTTTGTGGAGGCCAAAAAACAAACCGGCAGTAGTTGTGATACCCCCAAAACGTCGGTGAGCCTCAGAAAGTAGATAATGGCTGCTAATGAACATGTAATAATACCAAAAAAGGTCAAATAACTATTTTTGCTTTCTTGAATCCTTGGGTATCACTGTGTTATTTTTTACACAAGAACATTGTTACATGACTGAGTTACGAGGAGGTATAATCAGGAATGCACAACTTACGCAGGTACCTTCTTAAACCTTCAACCAGCTGACCTTCAACCAAACACACTGTTGTTACATTTGAACTGGATCCATTTCATTTCAGGTTGGATACATGATCCTAAATGTTCCAGATCTGCTCTTGAATACTCATCTGAGGCATGAGTTTAAGCCTTTGGAGATCTTGTCGAGTATTTTTTTTTCATTAGGATGTGTTATTTAAGAAGATTCAATACCTCTGACCAACTTTCTTCAAACGGTTTGAAAATTGCCAAAATGTCTCCACAACCCCTTTGCCCCTAGAAGGCACTTTTTTTGTGTGCTGCCTTGGTTGATAGAATGTAGACTAGATTGGTGATTGACTTGCTGACAAAGACTATACCATATTTTATGTGACATGGCAAAAGGGCACCAGCTTATTGTGTGTAGTTGGGCTCTTTTATGAGAAACAAATGAACATATATATTGCCTGTAGGATCCATTCCTGCACTCAAAACAGAACCTGACTGGTTGCTATGGGCATAGCCTCCACTTCTTTGCTCCTTGTTATATAAGAGTCCTAGATAGTAAAAAAAAAAAGCCAAACTCAGGGGTAGAATAGCTAGTAGCCTAGCTATGGAAGGGATATACCCGCATTGCTGGCCAGTGCTATTGTATCCCTCTATCAGTATAGCTGCTTTTCATTAAAAAAAAGAAGAGCTATGGTACACATTACTGGTCCTCTTTCAACAAAAATGAATCTGTTATAAGAAAAGAGCTTTCATATGGATAAGTCTGTTCACAACTGATAAAGAAACTTCCGATGGACGCCATGAAGTTCATTTACCTTCTGGCTACTTATACCATTCAGGGACACTGATGGAACTAAACCGCCCATGAAGATCTGGCTCCATCCAACTGCAAGGACTTGCATAGGCCATAAAATGAACCAAACTGTAGCTGAGGCTGGAGTCACCATATGGAGAATCTGGCATGTGGTACAAATAAAATCACTGTGCGTCAGATGTAGACAACAACCCGGAACTAAAGAAAAGGTTCTTTCAATAATATAAGTAGCCAGCAGATGAGAAGTCTGCAACCACTCACAAGTGTGTTATCAGCATAAAATGCTAACAAGGTTATGAACCTGCTTGTAACCAAGTTGTTTTATCAGTTGTAACTAGACTTGACATCTAAGCCTTAAAATGCAAATTAAAGGTTCTTCACCATGTGGTTTACATAACAGGTCTAAAGGACTGCGCACCAGCACATTAAAGGTAATCCTTACAGGCGTTTAAATGAGATGGACAAACATTCTGATCTCCCTCTCCTTACATATGTTACAGTGATCAGTAGCCAAGACTTCAGATTTTGCTTTCATGGCTACCATCAGGTAAAACTTGATATTGTAGCTTGGCCATGGGGATGGGATGACTCTCTGCCAGATTCTTCATATCTCAAAGACTGTTCAAAGTCTAGCAGGGAGGAGGGTTCCCGTTCTTGCAGTTATGAAAGAGAGACCACCTCATTGTGCTACTACACAAAACATAACTCCAGCAGAGGTCAAGTTTGGGACTGGATAATCCCCTTAATTGAAAATGTATTAACCAGATTTTACATTTGGAATGCAAGTATAAAAATGTGGTCACAACGCACTGTGTTGCTATAATCAGGTTCTCTGTACAAAGTAGGCAAGCTAATTCCTTATTTGGGGCAGTAGACAGTTCTGTAGATACAGTACTTTGATCAATGAGATCTGTCATGCTTTACAAAAATAAAAAAAATCTCCTTGGTTAAAAGGAGAACTATTAGGTGAGTGCTTTTCACTCACCTCATAGTTCTAGCAGACCTGTGACAATGAGACTGTCACAGGTCGGCTCAGTAGATCGGGAGGTGAGCGAACATATACCGGCGTTCGCTCACCTCTCGATCCTGTCACTGCTTTCTGCCGTGACAGGGGAGGGGCTGGATTCCCCCGCTCCAATCCGCCAGCGCCGACTGGTGGAACGGACGGGGAGGGGGCGGGTACAGATGGCTCTGCCTCTAGATAGGCAGAGTCAGCTGTCGGTCACGCAGCTGGGCGGATCCCGGCACAATTGCTGGATTCCCCTCTCCCCGCTCCGATCCGCCAGTGCTGACTGGCGGATCGGACGGGGGAGGGGGCGGGTACAGCTGGCTCTGCCTCTAGATAGGCAGAGCCCGCTGTCACTTACGCAGCTGGGCGGATCTCGACATCGATGTCGGGATCCGCTCCGGCTGCGGCGTCTCAGTATACCGCAAGCTGTAGCTCGCGGTATACTGAGCTTAGGGTAACGGGAGGACGCTAGTTTGTGTCCTCCCGTTACCCTAAGGAGAACTATGGGGAAAAGCTCTGACCCCATAGTTCTCCTTTAAGTCCATGTGAGGCTGTTTTTGAAGCTGAACTCCAGGGAGATAGTAGGAACCACCAGTAAATGAAGTTATGCCATTATTAAAAAAATAAATGTATTTTAATTATAACAAGTATAAATACTTGATGTTGTTTTAGCCCCCTGGAATACCCTGTAAAGCAGCACTCAGACAGAGAGAGGAAGGAGCAGTACTCTGAACCAATCAGGTGTCCTGCATTCACATCTGCTGACAAGGAACATGCTGTCAGGAGGAGGGAGCGGAAAGAATACCTCAGCCTTTTGCTGCTCATTTACTGTCCAAACACAGGTTGGGGGCAGGGATGTGACCTATTGCTTAAAGGAGAACTATGAGGTGAGTGAAAATCACTCAACCTCATAGTTTGAGCCGACGTGTGACAATGAAACTGTCACATAGATAGGCAGAGCCAGCTGTCAATTATGCAGCTGGGTGGCTCTCGACAGTAATGCGTCGGTCTCAGTATACCGCGAGCTGTAGCTCGTGGGTCACGGGAGGACGCTAGTTTGGGTCCTCCCGTGACCCTTAGGAGAACTATGGGGGAAAACACTTACCCCATAGTTCTTTAACTGCAGCATAGAAAAGTCAAGTCACCTGGCTGGCTGTGATCTGTGGCAGAATTGTGTAAATCCCAGGTGTGGGTGGACAAAAATACAAATCCTTTCCCAGATAAGACCGTTCCCATATATGTCAACTGTGTATTTAGCTGTTTGCCTGGAGCTACGCTTTAAAATGTCTCACTTGCTGAGGAGAAATTTTCAGGTTGCACTAAAGAGGATAAATAAGGATGAAACAAGCTGCTTATATTTATTATCATTCTGTGCTCTCTTTATGCTGTAAAGTGAATATATACACGAGCGGCCATGTAAATGTAATCACCCAGAAGCCTTTTCTTCCTGTTGATTGACTGATTCAAGTAGCCGGTGTGACAGTACCCTTGAAGCTGCAGGTTTGCTCTGCTCCAAAAGCTGAATTGTGAAAGGCTTGTGAAAGTGAACTCATTCTTCCATATTACTTTACATGTGAAACTGCACAAATGGTAAATTCACAGAAATAATGAAACTTAATAAACAAAGAAAAAAAAGTCAATGTCTTTGGTAAGAATTGAACCGGAAAGTGCTGTGATGTGCTTAATTAAAGGGAAATTACAGTCTCTTTAGTGAATACGTACTGTATATTGCGTTGTTATTTTGCCATTTTCACTTTTTATATATTTAGATACTTGTTGTTGAACAATATGTTTATTTAATTGATTTGTAAATGCTTCCTCAGGTGGTCTTCAGGACTTGTTCACACCAGCTCCGGACCAGAGAGTTTTTTTGCCTGCACCTGAAATGCATCCCTATCTCTATGGTATTTCTGGGCTCTGTTCACACTAGTGCAGGTCAGTTCCAGTGCAGGGAGGAAAAATGCAGTATGCACTATTTTTTCTGGTCTGGAGTGCATCAAAATGCATGTAAACACATCAAAAATGCATGCAAACGCACTGGCGCACACATGAAAGCCCATTTTAAGCTAAAAAAAAAAGGCAACGGAAAGTATCAAAACGCACTGCACTACATATGCGGAAACACATCCAGATCTGGTCCAGACATGGTGTGACCAAGCCCTCAGTGTATCAAAGAATTTAAGTACAGGCAGTCCCCGGGTTACGAACAAGATAGGGACTGTAGGTTTGTTCTTAAGTTGAATTTGCATGCAAGTTGGAACAGGTAAAGTTTTTAAGTGCAACTCCAGCAGGGAAGGGTTTACCCCCTGTAAAGTTTGTTTTGCTGTGTGCGCCCCTGTTCAGAAGATTTCACTTCACTTTCTGTCCCTGTGACAATTGGATTTTGAAAAATTTGGGTTGTTGTGGAAACAAGGATTGGTGATAAAGCTTCAGTAGAGACACCTTTTTCCCATGATCACTCTTACAGGAGTGAATTTCCCTTCCTAGGGGTAGATTTCCTCTCACTCCCTGTTGTCTCAAGAACAGGAAGTGAGATTAAATCATTCTAATGAGGATACAGACAGCAGTAAAAAGCTCACAGTGACCCGGAAGAAGAGGCGGGCACCCCTAGTCTGCACATCTAACAAGAGCCAACTTCCTGTAATGTACGCACAGTACTACGAACCAGACCCAAAAAGGCGGGCACTCCTCGTCAGCACGAGCGCGGTAACATTACAACTACCCCTGCTGTACAGTAATAGCCTCCATCTGCAAGTAGGAGTCGTATGTAAGACGGATGTATGTAACTCGGGGACTGCCTGTAAAGCCCAGCTGCACCTTTTAGGTAGTGCTCACCTGCTCTGCAGTACTGTCCCCCACAGGCTCACCGTTCCTAGCCATTGCTTCTCTTTTGGGTTTAATGACCTCCAAACCACTTCATGTGAGCCCAGGCTGCCCTGAAGAGTGTCATAATGGCGGTCAGGGCTCGCTCACAGTACTGCTGGACATAATGATGTGCTGTCCAGGCGTAAGGACCACCCACCACCTCCAGAATGGCAACGGACTGGTCTGAAGACTTCAGGAAAAAATGAGTTGGGCTTTAGCTATCTTGGTTGGTCTTATATTCTGTTATTTCAGGAAGGTCAGAGATGACCCACTGCCCTGCCTTGAGAGGGTTTAACAGTGAAGTATGGTCACTGTGCAGCACTAGCAATAGAAACCTGGGAAGACTG